GCTGCAGCCCAGCCCAGCCCCCGTGTCCCCAAACCCACATGGGCACCCACCAGCACCCCTCGGCCACGGCAGCCCCGGGGGGAAATCATCAGCAGTACAAGGAGGGGATAAAGAGCGGGGAAGACCTGGCCCTTTCAATACCGGCGCTTCCCAGGCCCGGTGCCAGGATCCGGCCGCGCACACCCAAGCTTTGCCGCCAAAGCTACCGAACTCCCGCGCAGCGCGGGACGCACACGCCGTTGCACAACCTTGGCCAACAGCTCCTTTTATTTTTAGGCTCTTGCGACACGGCTTCCCTGCAGCCCGCCCGAAACACCACCGAGGCACCGGATGGGCCACGGGATCCGCAACGCCCTGCCCTGCTCCCGCAGCTCTCAGAGCGACCCCACGCACCAGCCGTGCCTCAGTTTCCCCATTAGTTACCTTCGCCCACCAGCCCCGCGCTGGCAGCGATGCAGCCAGCCCTGCCGACCCCGAGGGCTCCCTCCCACCCATCCCATCACCCAAGACCTTGTCAAATCCCCCCTGGTGCTCCGTGGCACAATGATCCCACCTGGGAACTGGAGATGAGGCCAGGATGTGGCTCAGTTCGGTGGCTGTAGCTGCCACGTGTTTGCAGGAGCCGCCGTCCCCAGGTGACACTGTCTTCCAGACGGTCCCCAGCCCGTCCGAGGGACCAGGGCAGGATCGTACCCTGCAGTGTGGGAACTGGGGTGTGAAGAGCTGGGACAGCGTCACCACTTGGGACCTCCAACAGGAGTTAAGGGACAGCCGGACCCTGTAAACCCACCAGCAAAGAGGGGCAGAGACACCAGCTGGTCACCGGTGCCAGGCGAGATGGCAGCTGTGCCGCGGTGCCGGCCGGCTCCTGGCGCAGAGCCACAGCACTGCCTCCGGTAATGTCCCCCCCCACGACCCCCCCCGGAGCTGCCTCTTCCTTACGAGGGGAGGAGGGCTGAGACCAAACTCCTGCCACATCGGTGGGTTCAGCCCCGGCTGTCCCCCGCGCAGCACCTCGTGGGGCAGAGCAGGCGGCACATCCCACCCCAGCGAGGGGCAGCACCGCGCCGATGAGAGATTCCCAGCAGGATGAGCAGATGGGAGGATTTTACAGCCAAAACATGGTAAGAAAAGGGAAGGAAAAGGTGGAGGAAACAGAGGCAAACGCAAGTCCTTGAACATCATGGCCTGACGTTGGATCTGAGATCAGCAAAGGGCCTTTGAGCTCTGGGGATGGCGGCCGCAGGCGAGAGCAGTGGGGCTCGGCCAGCCCGACCTTCCTGTGCCGGCAGCAAGGCAGGGCTGAGCTCACGTCGTGCTGTGCGAGGGGCTGGTGAAGGCTGGAGGCAGTAAGCGATGGCCATGCAGATGGTGGGACGCTGCCCATGTACCTCTCGCTGCCAGACGCGAGGATTGGGGCTGCACTGGCTGCCACGACCCCCGGGACCCGCACCACCAACTCCGCCGGGCACCCAGCCCTGCCGGTGGCCGGGGACAGGAGCTCACACCACCACTGTACTGAAACGCCAGTGCCCAAGTGAGGGGACTCCTCCGAGGACGGGCAGCACTGTGGGGACGATGCCCCATCAGCGAGGACGTAGGTCTCTTCCAACCCCAGCTCTCCAGCTGCAATGCTCAGCTGGGCCGGAGCGCTGAGGACTTTAATTGATGGCGAGCCAAGCCACGCCAGGCCCGGACTGTTTTCTAATCCCAGTGTAATTAATGACCTTATCTTTGGCCAAAGCCATTTAGATTAAGTGGCTGGTGTGATGGGCTCGGCGGCTTCGGCTGCACAGATGGAAGAGCTGCGTTTGTCTGGGGATTAGCGGAGGGCAGATGGAGTGAAGTGCCATTCCCCATCCCCAAACCTCTCCGCACCGACAGCAGCCTGAAACCTGAGACCACAACAACTTTCTCAGCGAGTCCCGGCCGGACCGGAGAGCAATTTCGCATTGTTTGTGCCTTCTGCAGGAGACCGAGACCGGGGAGGTCCTGCAAGAGCAGCAGGAGCTGATGGTGTGCCGACCCCAGAAACGGGTGCGACCCTCACCAGGAGCTCCATCCCAGTCCCTGCCGTGAGTCCTTCGAACAACAGAAGTACGATGAACACCAGCTTCTTCCTGGGAGAGCAAATCATCGCTGAGCCCTGGCACTGCATAAATAAAAAGCTGTCCCCCCATCGACAGCCCCCACCTCTCCCAGAAAGCAAACTCACCTCTTTCTTTCCACTGGCAGGATCAGGGCGTGCATCCACCTTCCATTTCCCGGTCCAGCCACAGCAGGAACAAGCAAGTGTGACAGACCCCCGTTCTCCCGGGACACCCAGGAGCTGCGACCCCCACAAGAAGGCAGTGCAGCGGGAGGCACGGAGCAGGGGGGAGGCCTGGGAGACTCTGCCCGACCTCGGCTGCAGCAGACTAGGCACAGAACAGGCAGACTAGCAGCTATAGTGGTAGAGGAATAACATTTATCTGTGGGGATAACAAAGTTCATATTAAACCGATTAAGGATATTAAATCCATTTCTAACAGTATGGTCATCTGACCGGACTCAGGAGATGGAGCAGATAATCCCACCCCCCCCCATTCACAGAGCTGCCCCGATGATCCCATCTCCCATCCTGGGGAGATGACTCGACGTGTCCACGCTCTCCATCAGAAGACCACGCTCGGCACATCAGCGGCGAGTGGGGCTTTACACCGCGCCTCGCCTGCACCTCGTCCATCCAGGCTGGGAGAACACGGCTCCACGCCACGACCCGCTGGCCGTGTGCTCCGGCGCTGGGCTGAGCCCACATCCACATGCGCTTGAGTCAGCGCGGATGGCAAACAAGTCTGGGCTCGAGAGGAGGTTCAGCCGGTGCTGCAGACAGACCCAGCGACACCAACCCGGTGCCCAACATTTCAAAGCCAACGGCCAGCTCTGCCCAGCGCTGGCAGAGAAAAGCCAACCCAAATTCCCAGCTCTTCTTTGCATATTGCCTTCAGCCTGAGCTCCCGAGCCACCCCGCACCCCTTCCAAAGGGCCCGAGGCAGCCACCCCGCGGAGCATCACAGAAATAATTCAACGCTGAGGAACACAAACTGGAGGTTCAATCTAATCCCCACCAGGGCAGGCATCTCCAGAGCTTGCAATGGCAGATCTGCCCACGCAGCCCTTCCCCTCGCAGGCTGACCCCCGAGAGATGCCTCTTGCCACAGGGTGTATCGCAAGCAGCTGAAGGAAAAAATTGTGCTCTCCCACCTCCCAAGGAGGAACCGTGTTGATCGCATTTGCCAGGAGAATCCCAAGTGCCCTGGAAAAGGCCCTCCCGGTTTCACCCAGAGCGGCACGCCGGGAAGCGCGGTGGCGCAGACGGCGCTCGCGTCCTCCAGGAACGACGCTGCGGAGACCAACCGCCTCGCAGACGCGGCACAAAGAATTCGCTGCTCAGCAACTCGGGATTCAAATGCGGGGCCGGTTCCCACTGCCAAACCACAGTGTAAACCCCCGGGAATTCAGCTTTAACTAGGACAGACTCATCTGTGGCAAACTCGATGAGATCATTTCCAAGTTCCCGTTTAACAGGTGCCAGCTCCTTCTGCACCTGCTACGTGCCTCGGGATCAGCCTGCATCCACCGCGCCGAGAACATCTGCTCAGCTCCCTCAGAAGCTGCAGAAAAGGTGACTGGAAGAAGAAGCCAGGTCTGGACGTCCTGCCCCGCGCCCAGAGCAGGGAACCTGGGCCAGGTGGAAACAGAGAGCAAGAAAACTGCGCTTGCTAATAGGGAGGGGAACCCACAATAATCCTGCAACTTTATTTCCGTATAAAAGAAACAAAAAAAAAAATATATCCTCTCCACAATAAAGGCAGTAAGAGCTCACTCGGCTCCGGAGTTGCACTCCTGGCCAAGCTGGAGGAGCGTAAGGTATATCTGTCTCTGAGAACGACACGTTCGCGTGCCAGCAGGATCGGCTCAACCATTCCAAGGATAATTCTGCGTCTCTGGCAGGAATTAACGCTTGGCATGGGAGGATGCTCCTAGCAGCCTTGCCCCGGGGCCCAGCCCGTTCTAGGCAGGGCTGGGGAAGCATGGGAACACGGCGCGATGAGGCCACATGAAGAGGATCTGACGCAGCCGACGGCCTTTGGCCGTCACTTACACACCTGCCTCATCCCGAAAAAAAAAAAAAAGACTCAGCTCGTTCGGTTCAAGGCCACCCAGGACTACGGCGCTTCCTCGCCGTACAGGCGGAAGCGCGGCTGCTCCCCTGCGCCAGCTGGTTCGCAGGTCTACGGCAAAGGCACGCCGCTGTCCTCGCCCAAGGTCTCTGCGCCCCCACCGTCCCCCTCGGCCTCCGCAGCGCGGCTGGCGGCCTCCAGCTTCCTTCTCTTCTTCAGGTGGTGCAGGTGGGATTTGGATCGTGTGTGAGCTGGAGGAAGAGGCAAACGGAGCATTTAACTCCAGGGAACGTGGAGAAGGAAACACCCACCCTCATCCCCCCGTGCAGTGCAGAGCACTCCCCCTTCCCGTCCTCCCGCACAACTTATTCCCACAGAAAAGCGAACTCCCAAGCCCTGCCCTGGATGTTTTTCAGGGCACTTCTAGGCCAAACTATTGGGTCTCAGAAGGGGGACGACCCTTCCAAGCCTTCTCCTGACCGCAGGAAGGACTGGGAGAGGGGCAAAAACCTGGCTGTGTATATGCAGAAGATTCCTGGATTATCAGGACTCGATTCTCCCAGCCAGTCTGCTCCCGACCGAGACACGACGCCGGGAGGACGGGAGAAAGTGTTACCAAAGAGGCGGCACATTGCAGGATGCGGGTGAGGTTGTGCAACTCTCCATCACTCCGTGGAGCGCCGCCAGCATCATTTGTAAGCCCAGATGCCGGCACCACAGCGCCGGGGATATCCTGCACATCTACAGAGTGGATAGGGACGGAGCCCGCAGCATAATTATGCTTTTGCATAACTCCAGGGCAAG